CCAACATCCAGGGTTCAAACCCTGCACTGGCCAGCTGCCCCCCCCCCCCCCAAAAAAAAGATTTTAAATCTTGGGAAGACCCCCTCATCTTTTTTCCCAAAAGGAGCCACAATATATAAAAAATTCAATAACAATTTAAATCTTTAGTTAGGCAGGGGAAAAAACATACTTGCCAGAATCCCCAAAGCACCTCAATGGAACATGTTCCAGTGCCAGGAGCATCACGTGGAAGCCGGTCTAAGCCAGCTTCTCCCTACGCAGGCTCTCCTGTGGGAGACTGCCCTGCCTCTTCCTGCACACTCTGGTGACGAGGGGCTCACCACCTCATTAGGCAGCCTATCCCACAATGAGACAGGTCTGACTCTGAGTTCTCTGTACGCTGAGCAAAACTCTGCCTCTGAAGATCTGGCCTGTCCTCCAGAGCCCTAGAACCCAACGAGCCCCAAAACAATATTTTAGAGGTATACACATAGCCCCGGTTCTCCCTGAGGCTTCTCCAGGCCAACCCCAGGTCCTCAGGAGCTGTTTCTCACAAAATCTTGTCTTTCTTCTAGATGTCACCTGGCCATCACAGTGCCTAGTCCTTGTTGAAGAGCCAGGAGGCCACTGTTAAGTGCGTGGTTGCAGCCCTGGCAGTCTGGAGCCTGGTGAACACACAGGCAGGAGGAGACAGGAACTGCCTGTGTCCTTGGGCTGGACCTCTCTGGAAGCTGCTCAAATGAATTGGGAGATCACTGGGGGTGATCTGCTGCCACCCAAGGCCAAAAGGCCTCCTGTGTTAGTTGGCCCTCCCCCTCTCCTGACAGCTGTGGCTGCCCTCCCCTTGCCTCTCTGTCAGGGAAGGATACTGTACTCGTGCAGGATAAGCTGCACCAGCTTTTCTGAGCACTGGGTCAGCATGACTGTTGAGTTAAAGGAGATGCCGCCACCTTTCTTGGGCTGGAGGAGGAGACAGGGAAAGGGAGAGCTGCTGACAAAGGGGCAACAGCAGTGGTCCCATGGCCTCAGTTGCGGGCCAGTGCAATCCCAACCTGCCATGCCCTGGCCCGTGGGCCAAGAGGGGCCTCACCTTGAAGTAGATGTTGGGCTTGTGCTTGTTGAGGCGGATGCCCACTGACTCCAGCTCCTTCTCCAGCAGAGACCTAGGCAGAGTGCCCCATGAGCCTTTCTAAGGCTGCCCAGAAGCATGACGTGCAGCTTCCCCTGTCCACCCAGAAGGACCAAACTCCCTCCTCTGTCCCGTTCCCCAGCAACCTAGGGAGTATCTCCTCCCACCACCCCAAAGCTGCAGGGAGTTCTATTCCCCACCATATCTGGCTCACAGCCAACATGCAGAGGCAGGCCTGGTGTGCCCCTCAGCTGGCAGGGTGTGGGGAGAATGAGGCTTCTGCTGCCTGGGGCTGGGCTCCTGGTGGATTCTGGGCAGTGACCGGGGTACCTGGGCCTGTGAGGGCAGGAGCCAGAGCCAGGCCACCCTCCTTAGCCCCAGCCCCAAGACACCCCTGTGCTGGCTGGACACAGACTCAAGGAGAGGACATCCCAGGCTGGGTTGCATTGGGGTTAGCCTGTGAAAAGTCCTGCCCCTACTGCTACATGCGAGAGGAACAAATAACCATCAAACTGGCCCACCATGAGCTCAGGGACACATCTGCCCTCCCCAGACATGTCAGCCTGCCCCTGTGCCCCACCCTGCAGACCTCTGCACTTCTCCCTTGGTGGCGTCCAACATCATTATGACAACATCGGCCGTGCGTGCCACAGCGATCACCTGCCGGCCACGGCCTTTCCCTGGACAGGTAGAAGGGATACGGTTACATCTTGGCAAGGAAAAGTGACACAGGCAGGACCCATATGACCTGCACCCAGCCCATGGTGCCGTGGACACCTGTCCTTTACAGAACCCCACAGTCTCAGCCACATGCCACCCCTAGGCTGTGATTTCCTTCACATTTTTCTTTAATCCACATGCTATTTTATTCTTGGAGACTTATTTCAGAAGGAAATCCACCATCACCACCTCAAGTGGAACAAGATAATAATGGCCACCATCCCTCCCCGGCTATGTGTCAGGCCACGGGCCAAATGCTTCATGAACATTTCCTCACTTAATACTCAAAGCTATGCTGTAAATTGAGTATTATTATGCCCATTTTACAGATAAGGAAACTGAGGCTTGGCTTACACATACCCAATCGCTTGCACAAGATAACAAAGCTAGTGTGCTGCCAGCATTTGAACTTGAGCCTGTCTTTTTTGAAAAACAGGCTAACAGAACCAGGAATCCAGGGTGATTTCCATGACAACCACACCCAATTTCAACAATCAGTGACAGAGCTCCAGTTGCCTCTCACCCACCTGTCCCCGCCTCTCACCTTGTGCTGCACCTTCAATAATTCCGGGAAGATCCAGGAGCTGGATATTGGCACCTTTGTACTAGGACACAGAAAAGAAGGGTGAGGCACAGCTAGGCCGCTGCTGGGAAGGGCCTGTCTCGATGGGGGACACCTATAGTGGTGCCACAGCTCAGGGGCTGTGGGAAACTCTCGTGACAACCCATGACCTCGTCACCACCCCAGCCCAGTGCAGACCACAAGCCTATGAGCTGAGGAGCCACCTGGGGAGGGCTTTTGAGATCTTCCATTCCCATAACACTCAATGCTGCTGGTAATAGCTCCTCACAAATAAATCAGTTCACCATGAGAGACTCGAAGCCACAGCACCTGGCTGGCCAAGGCACACACAGCCTGAGGCTCTGAAGCTTTACGCAGAAAGGATGCAGCCAACAGGCTATGAGTGACAGAGCTGGGGTGGTGGGGGAGTGGAGCACAAAGGGCATTAGGCAGAGCTGCCACATGCTGGCCTCCTGTAATGCGTCAGGACTCCAGGCCCGGCTGGGCATCTCCGGAGGATCCCCATAAGTGCCAGTGCTTGAGAGCAAAGCACTCAGTCCAGAGCCTACCCCCGCACAGGGATGCCCACCCACAGACCCCTGCATGCACACAGTGCAAGCACAAGCACACCCTTTGCCCCTTCTGGGGCCAGCAACCCCCTTACTTCAATGACCCCAGGGATGCACGTCAACGTGGTGAACTCGTAGGATGCAGCTTCGCTGGCTGTGGAGGTCATCAGACTCAAGAAGGTGGACTAGGAGAAAAAGGACATCACTGCACTGAGGAATCGTGTCCCAGCCTCCTGGGAGGGTCCCCATGGGGCTGGGAGCCTGCTGGGTGCCGGCAGCAGGAAGGGCCCTCACAAGAACAGGAGTACCTCCAAGACGTGGGTGGGTGTGAAGAGAACTGCCCAGCTGAGAGGGTTGCCTCTGGCCCTAACTGGGAGGGGTTGGGCACCAGAGACCTTACATTCCTCAGAGGCCTCAGGCCTGTCTTGGGTGGACGTAGGGACCTGGTTTCTAAGGGCTTCCCCACATAAATCAGGAGACCTTTCCTAGCCCCACACAACTCTCCAGAAGCTTCTGGCTCCAGAGAACTTTGAGTAGGCGATGGCCCCATAGCACTCCTGAAACCAGTACCAGAACGTGCCATCCACCCAGGGAGGACGTGAGATGTGCGAGGAGATGTGGGAGAGAGGAGCTGCGGTGGTGGTGGTGGTGGGGCAGGGTAGGGAGGAGGGAGCTGCAAAAGGATGGGTGTGACCACTCGGGTTCCCTGTAGCCGAGAGCTGGAGAGGCCTGGCTCTGGATCCCGCCGTGCTGGGAGACCCTGGATAACAAAGTCCATCCTCTGAGCTTCAGGGTCCTCACATGTAGAATGAACACCAGCCCTGTCCCTGCCTCACAGGACTCTCCGAGATTAAGGAGATAAGGCCCAGATGCACCTAGCTTGGAACTCAGTAACATCTCAGTGATGGATGCTGCAGCCAACAGGCCCAGAAAGGCAGTGGACAGAGCCAGAAAGAAAAGAAACCCAGACACATGTCTCCCACCCCTCCTAATCAGCAAGACCCTGAGAACAAGACACCCAAGACTCAGTTGCCATGGTGCTGGCCTCCTTGCTGGCAGGCAGGAAGGCTGGGGCACATCTCCCTTACGTACCCTCAGATCTCTGAAACCCACAATGGGGCTCTGAAGAACAGACTGAGTCCTCAAATCTAGAATCTCTAAGCCTCGGGGACCTCCCAGAAACTCAAGTTAAGAGGAAAAACTGGTGGGGTAGACAGTAAGAACAGACAGGTATGGATAGACAGGGTGGCCCCGGGAGTAATGGCTGCCGAGACACTGGAGGCCAACCTTGGGAACACCTCCTGATCCTGTCTGACCTCTGTGAGTGACAGGCCTGGGACCTCCCACAGTAGGAGAACCTGTATTGCCAACAGAACAGGTGGGATCTGCCACAAGGCGCAGATCCCACAGGGCATGGCCCTTGGTAACTATAGTGCTTCTATCAATCCCACTCTCTCTTGCTTGCTGATACACATACCCATTACACAGGCAGAGGAGAAAACAAAACAAAACAAAACACTGCCCGGCCTGCAGCAAGCACTCAAGANCCAGCACCTTGTCCAAGCACCCTGGTCATTGCTCATTTGGTCTTTATTTTAGTACCTCTTTGCTGGCCTCACCACTTCCACCCTGGCCCAGCTTTAGCCTGTTACCTGTACAACAGCCAGAGCGATGATGTTAAAAAGTAAGTCAGTGCCACGATCTTGGTTTCTAACACGACTCTCTAATAGAAGGAAACAGAGCTCCTTGGAGAAAGGCTGATTCTAGGCTGGGGAACAGATTAAGCATCTTGCAGTGTCAGGGGCAGGAAGTGATGGAAAAACG